CTAGGAAGGTTTCCATAGCAACCAATTACTTTAATGCCCTGCTTAGTTACAAGCCCATGCTACTAGGCTCGGCAACGTGAAGTGTTATGTAAGTCCTTATAAACCTTGGTATGGTCACTTGTTTGACCAATGTGGGACTCTGTATCATCAGAAAACTAGAAATCTGCTCCAAACTCTATTTAAAAAATTTGTCAATAACTCTATCTCATAACCGCTCCTTCTTGCTTTCCCTCTCTATTTCATCGTTTTAGGTTCCTAGCCCTAGGACAGCAGCCATCGTCATCGCAACCAGCAGCCGCCATAGCCACCATCCAAAGTAAGTAGCAATGATGTCTCTTTACGTTTATTTTGAATGTATGCAATGTAAGTTCTGATGATGGGTTTCTGTAATGAAAATTAATAAATTTTACAAAACCACACAAAACAAAGTTATAAAGAGAATGGGCAGTGCCTGTACTTATTTTAGTCGGAAATATATACACAAACTATAAATTGTTACTTAGCTTGTACAAAACAAATCATGTGCGTAAGTTTGGCTGTGAATTGAGAAATGTAGATATAGGAGTAAACGACTGAAGGTAAATTAGGAGTTAGCACATGAATCTTGCAGTTTTGTGCTGCCCTGTAAAACACAAATGGTTAAGCTATAGTTTTCTGTTTTATGCTTGTTCAACAAAGATTGCACAAGTATTTCCTTTGAGGGTAGTATGTTTTATTAGGAGCAATGTAAAGCTTTCCTGCATATTGCTGCTTTTGTAATGGTGGTGATTACACAACATAGCATAGCTCCCACGACTTCTTTAGTTTTGAATGATGGTGGGTTTGCATGAATCCTAGTTCAAATGGTTCAGAGTATATAGATTTTCGTTTATGCTCAGTTTTGTCATGAAGCAATCATTTAATAAATGTCTCATCATTAGGTTTAAATCAAGAAAATATTTATTAATTAGGATTTGATATGATTTACAAAGTAAAAAAAAAAGAAGGAAAAAACCGAAAAAAAAAAAAAGAGTATCGCCGAGCGGCTGTACGATTTAAAAAAAATAAAAACCGAGTATAGCCGTTCGGCTATACTACTTATTTTTTAAAAATTAGCAATGCCGAGTATAGCCGAACGGCTATACTATTTCTTTACAAAAATTTAAAAACCGGGTATAGCCGTGCGGCTATACTGCATTGTTTTTTAAAAAAAATTATAAAACCATATATAGCCGCGTGGCAATACTATTAATAAAGTAAAAAATATGAAAAAAGAGGACCTGTCTAATGGCTAGGCGCCCACATGTCAAAAACCATAGTATAGCCACACGACGATACTCTTTAAATATGTATTTAGAAGGTATAGACCCATGGCTATATTATTTAATTTAAAAAATATATATATAATTAATGTAAATTGTTTAATATATATTATGTTTATTCAATAATATGTGAGAAGTATATGTATAATACGTGAAGCTGTGTGTATTATTGAAAATTTTATAAAAAATATACATGTATTAAACATGAAAAATATGTACGTACATGTATAATACGCGTATTGCATGTTTGCCTTTTAAAAAAAAGTGAACTTTACCAAGTCTTTAAGACTGTACAGAACACGGATGTATTATTGAATATCAAAGGGGGACAATAGAGACTCGGGTAATGGCCTTATACTATTAGTCCTCTAGATTAATCGGAACGTCATCCTCCAAATTCTGAGGTGAGGGTGTCTCGGAAAAGAATTCTTCATTTGGATATGACTTCTGGAAAAGCTGTCAAGTGCAAACATTGACACCAAATTTCGCAAGGGTTAACATCAAGGCAAGATGTCAGTAAAGAGATAATAATACCAGCAAGTTGCATCTAATAGATCATTGTAGCAAAGATTTCCATCTGGCATGGGAGTTGAAATAAGATAATCACGTTGATCCTGAAATTAATGTAAATCTGAAAAGATATCACAGCTCATATCTACATCACAATCCATGCCCCGTATACAAAAACCACAGCAACATGGTTTCACCAAAGAAATCCTAATGTCTATCAAGAAAAGGTAACAGAGAGAGAGACAGATATATATATATATATAAACGTATAGCTGATTGGTTAAATAATATATTTAAAGAGTATAGTCGCTCGGTTACACTTTGCAACAACCACTACCGTACATATACCAGTTCCGCCATGTGCGAATGGGAAACCTTATAGAGCCAAAACCTGGAACCGACTTCGACAATGCCCTCGCTGCAGAATAGGCAACCCCCACCCAGAAT